GTAATTATTGAGATGAAAAGGCCCAGCATACGATGTGACACAGTCTAGGAGGGACATGGGCTTGTATGTCACAGGACTATTCATGCATCTGGTGAGCCTGGGAAAGGGTAAAATGACGTGGTTTTCTCTGCTGCCTGCTGACTTGTTCACCTGAAGCAATGCCAGCAGAGCCAGCCTGAAGTGTGGTGGATTGTAAGCAGGAACAAGGCTGATGTGAATTGTAGGAGGTGGGGACAGAGGAGGGATTTTCAGCATCTGTAAATGTTTTATGCAGCATAGGTGCTGCGTTCATCAGAGTGATTTATCAGTGTTAGGTACTGGAAATTTTTCCTGGCTTAATGTTTAAGATTTTTATTCCATCTTCATGGATGAATTGGTTTCTTGGGAATTACACTCTAAGAGGGGATTTGGAGTCTGCATATCTCAAAACCCGAGAGAGCAGGGAAGCAAACAGGCTCTGGGCTTGGCTCTCCAAGCACAGGCGTTCCCAGGGACCAGCTAACGCAGCCCGAGACCCTTATTTTCAGCATTTAAACAGAATTATCATTTGCAATCAGTCTTTATTTCTTTCAGAAAAATGGTGCTTGTGTCCTTTCTTAATTTTTTTGAGACAGGGTCCCAGTGTAGTTTTGCCTGCAGCTGTGTCTGTACGAGGGCTGCACTGCCCTCTCTGTCTCAGAGGTGCCTTCCAACGCTGCTGATTTATATCGTTATGAGTAACCAGTGTAAGCTTGGGCTGAAATACACAGCTGACATGTCTGTCCCACAGCATGACATCCTAAATCAAGTCCTTTGCCTCTGTGCATGTGAGAGGCCCGATGTGTTCCTCTCTTGTGAGTTTCTGAACTTAGCCCCCACTACCTTGCTGTTAAAACCCCCTTGGTAACGTGTGTCGCTCGTTCTTGCTTATTTCATCTCTGCTATTAAAGCATAAAACCACGATGAAACTTGCTGTTTGATGGATGAGGAAAGTGTATGACAACCCCAAGCCCGTGCAGCCCCCAGGAGCAGTGCCACGGGCTGTCCCAGTGTGTGGGCTGCTGTGTCACAGCTGGCAGGGCAGGGTGGCACTCACCTGCATGGCCCTGCTGTGGTGGAAGTGCCAGGATAACCGTGGGCTTGGAGGGAGGTGCTGAGGGGGGTATCCCAGCGAGCCAAATCAGAGCCTGGCTCGTGCTGTCATTTGGTTCAGCTGCAGCAACGTGTGAGGAACTGCAAATTTGAGGTTTGTAACTTGAGGGACACCTGCTCCAGATGAGAACAACTGGTGGTGAGGGCAGTTTAGTAAAGCCAAGTATTTATCTGATAAACAAGGTTCTTATAGAAGTGTATGAAGGTTACGTTGTCCCTTCTGCTTCCTGAACCCTTGTCATAAATGCATTAAATGTGACAGATCTTACATTACTGTCACGATCTTGGAAAGCAGTCATTGCTCAACTGCCTTATGGGATTTCTTTCTGGGTCTTACATAAACTTTTTTAAAAACAGCCAAGTGCCTGATTTTCTAAGGCGTAACATATCTTAGGACTGATAAATATCTATTAATAGCTGTTTGTAAAGGAAGTTGGATGCTCAAAGTAATTTACTAACTTAAAGCAAAAAAAAAAAAAGTCCTCATTCATTCTGACAGTTGGCTATTTTAGGTTGTTTTCTATTTTCTGATTACTGTATTAATCCTAATGTATGAACATGTCTCCATGAGTGTGCTTTTCCAAATACAGTCATCAAATAATCTGTAAAGCGTTTCAGTCTGTCCCACCAAGAAGACTGAAAAAATAAAGTGGTGGTGATGGAGAGTGTCAAAGTTAGCTGTATAGACTGTGTTTGGAGCAAAGGTAAAGAATGAAGTTGAGTTTCTTAGGTATGTGCTCTGATTGAGCAGAGTGGTGGTGGGCAGTGCTGAAATAATTGTTTTATCTCTGTTGAACTGCGGTGAGGGTCAGGTGCACAACTATGACAGAACTCTTAGAAATGCCAGTCTGTAACCCCCAACTGCTGGGTTGTGAGGTGATCAGACGTTCACAGCCCAGGCAGTGAGCAGGGTGTCACCAAAAGCTGAACAGGCAGTGCTGTGCCTTCAGAGGCCAACCCCCTCGTGATGCAGCAGAAAAGAAGACTCTGGTATTACTGTTTGCCATGCTGTAGCTGTGAATGAAAAGAAAATTTAAGCCTTTAGGACTGGCAATAACACCACTTTTATTAAGTTTCTATTGAAGGACTATTTTGAGTAGGATAAATTGATGGGACTGAACACAATAACCCTCAGTATCTCATTCTCAAATACTTAGTAGGCAAGCGCTACCGAATAAGAGAAGAAAGCTAAGATAGGAAAAAAGGTTACTTGGCAACATCACAGTGTTTGTAAAGGAGAGAAAGAAGGGTCAGGAACTTAATGAATTTTGATTATAGAATTTTCTGTAAGTGAGTCATTGCATGAATAGAAAAATCCGAAACCAGATTTTGGTGTCATACTCTAATAGGGATTGCCTCAAGCAAAACAGGGCTGGCTTGGAAGCAAACTGCAGAGGATAGCAAAAGCATAGCTGCTGTGTACAAACAAAATTGGACGCCCCAGGGGCAGGCAGTGCTGGTCATAGCTCAAGCAGAGATTTCTCTGAACAAGGTGTGTATGTGGTGGTGATGAAAGCTGGTGTTTATTTTTTTGTGTTGCCTGGAATAAACACACCTGGCAGTGGGGAAATGTTGATTTGGGGACCCTCGTGTTTACTGTGTGACATAAGATTGAAAAAGTTGGGGCTTAACTTCAGTATTTGGAAGGAAGGCACCAAATACAAAAGCACTATGGCCTGTAATTACAGTTCTGCCCACCTTGGCAGGGCAATTTCATCGGGTAAATGAATTTTTCTCTGTAATAATAACCTTATTAATTTCAGACCCTTGCAGAGAAGAAAAAATCCATTGATTGTTTCTGCAGTGGTAACCAGCTGCAAGGCTCAGATAATTGTGCCTGGTGCCTTGGGTGGAATAGGAGGTACAATACCAAGCCCAAAAAAGCCACTTGTCTACAGAAATACCTCTTCCCATCCAGTCCAGCCAGCAGCAAAATCTGTTTTTAAAGTAAACTTCATCAGAACCTGAATTCTGGCATTTAATTCAGCAGCCTCCAGCAAGCAGATGTGGTATTTTTATGGTAAATACAGATTGATTAGAAATTAATTATTTACTGAATAATTAATATATAATTATTTACAAATACTAACTGTGGTACCTAGGAAAATGCAACGTAACAACTAATATCTCCCCTATAACCCTTCCCCCACTAATACTTTAGCTGTTAATATTCTGACAAATATAATTTTTTAGAATAAATTCTAACAAAATGAAGTTAGATTCTAACTTGGTAAAGTCTTGCTAGTAAGTGCATTCATGGGGGCATTTTTCCATCGGAGACCAGGACATACCCACATGGAGTTTGATTTCTGGAACCACTCTAAATCTCCCCAGTTCAGGCAACTGAATTGCACACTGGAATATACTTCTGGTTTTTCTCACCTATGTAGGGAGCTGAAGTTACAAACACAGGTAGAACTTTTCACACAATTCAGTGTATAGTAAATACTAAATACTAATTTAGTTTACAGGTCAGTAAACTAGAATAATACTTCAAAAGCCTTTATTTTTCTTAGGGTTTTTGCTTTATTTTCTGTTGCTGATCATACATCTCAATACAACTGTGGGGATTTAAGACAGAGAGATTCACAATGACGTGTGATAATTGTTTTTCTTTTCAGTGTGGAGAGCAAAATTAATAAAACCTGTTTAATTTTCTTTTTACTTTCAGTCACTGATTTTTTAATGTCTGTTGTTCCAGTAAGTCTTAGAACAGCACTGTTTGGATGCTTTAAAGTGCTTAGAGCTTGGTTTCACTGCTCTGATAGCTTGAGATGTAAGTGGACTATTATTCTGACATAACTCCTAAATACCTCAAAATTTCTAGTTGAAGCTAAGCTCTAACCATGATCAAAGTGGCACATCAATTGGAATGAGTTGAAGCTTTGTGGAATTGGGATGGCGTTTTCTGTGGCACTAATCCAGATGTTGTGCTATTCAAGTGTTGAGCAAATCAAATTACGGTAACTCTGCAGTGAAATAATTGCTAGTCTGAAGTAGGCAGTGGGTTGCCTTCTGTATTTAAGTTATTCTGCTACAAATTAGAACTTCTAACCACCAAGTATGCATAAAGCATTTCTCGTGCCTATTATTTTTTTCTGTTCTGCCTCAATAAAATAAAAAAAGACGAAACTTCTATGCTCACATGTAGTTGATAAGATCAAATTACCAAATGCAGCTTGCAAATAACCAGCTGAATTAAATTTTTAACATCGTTGGCTATAGAAAAAAATAGTTTTTCTGTGGTTGCTTAGTAGTTGCATGTCAGTTCCTGACTTTATAGACTCCGGGAAGATGAGCTCAGGATTTTCTGTGAGTTTAAGAAGTTATCATTAGACTCAGTTCTGCAGTTTCCAGGCTTCATCAAAGCACTCCTGGATGTACCTGATTGTGTGTAAACAAATATTCTTGCTGGAGTCTGTGGGAGTGCCTGTGCCCTTGAACAAAATCAGCTGCTAAGCTGCCCAGCTCGAGTGAGAGCCTGTTCTTGGCCCAGCTGTTATTTAATGGCATAAGGCAGATGATGGAAAACATATATCTGAATTCAAAGTCTCTTAAATCCATTTTTTTCCAATGTTTAAACTAACTTTAGTGCCAGAAACTGGCCATACCTTGTGTATATTTTAATATTCCTTCCTTCCTTCCCAGGTGAGTATTTAAGAAGCGCTGTGGTCCCTGCTGGACCTTTGGGCAGTGCTGTGTTGCAGAGTCCTTCCTTGCAGCACGGTGTGTGTAAATGTGTGTGTGTGTCTCTGTGTGTGTGTGTGTTCTCACTTTTGCAGAGAGAGATCTGTGCTGATACCTGAAATAATAGATGTGAGGGGTTTTAACCTTGTAACTGTTACGAGATCTTTATGTGTCTGCTTTAGGGTCGACCCTATCCCATATGACACTCCAAAACCAGCGGGCCACACGCGATTTGTCTGCGTCTCAGACACGCACTCCAGAACAGATGGCATCCAGATGCCTTATGGGGACATCCTTCTCCACACGGGCGATTTCACCGAACTGGGACTGCCCTCAGAGGTTAAGAAGTTTAATGACTGGTTAGGTAAGGAATTACTGCGTTTTGGTGACCCCAATTAACCTCTCCTGTCCAAGTGTCAGTCACTGCCTCCTAATTGAATTAGAGCACTTGAAAATCTCCCCCCCACCACCCCCTTACTTCACTTGTCCTCATGTGATGTGCTGTTTCTAGCCTTGGTCTAATTCCTGTTAATTAAGACAAATTTAGATGCTTTGCTGTATTTTTGCGTTATTTTGGGGGGAAAAGATTCTGTCATTCCACAACAAGAACTGTGTAGCCCTATGAGCATGCCAAGGAGGTGGTGGCACCTCATATGAATGCATACAATGTCCCATTAGTTGATGCTGGGGGGTTTTATAACCCAGCCAAAACAGTTGCTCACTGTATTTTTGGGTTTACCATAACTTAAAGCAGCGCTGGAAGCTACAATGTAATTGGAAACGATGAAAGTCCTTCTTCCCAGGATATAGTGTGACAGAATCAATAATACTGTTTGGAAGAGGAGAGTTTTTTTGGAGTGGTATTCAGGTGCTTGCCCCTTTGGGTTAGAATACTGGCATTTTAAGTTGGACCACAGGCAGTCAGCCTCCCTTTGATAGAATACCTTTCATACTCTGCTGTATTTGACAGCAGTGCCTCGATACTGCTGGAGTTGAGGGCAATTAAATTGCAACAGCAGAAAACCAAAATGAAGGAGGGGAGCTTGTGCAGGATGGTCCTGTTATAAATGCCACTGGTAGCTGGCTGTGTACTGCCGTGCCACTTCTTGCACTAGAAGCACTCAGAGTTGAAGGTGACTCAAGCAACTGATCTTCAAGAAACATTAGAATGAATTTACAGCATTATATAAAAATCTTTCAAAGCATAGCATTGTGACCAGGCTTTACCTCCGTCACTGCACTCCCTTGCCTGCTGTGTGATGGCTGCATCTCCACAGGCCTTTAATAGCATCATTTCATTCCATTAGAGTTCCTTGGCTGACCCTTCAAGAGATATGTAAAGAACTTTTGGATTTACAAAAGGAAATAGAAGAACTTCCCCGCTGTCTGTCTTTTCCTCCACACTGTTCTTTTTACCTGACCTCCTCTGATTTCCACAGCCCAGTTTTAAAAGAGTGTTTTTCCTTCCTTTTATTGCTGTGCATGTGGGGCTGGGGCCTCTTGATACTGCCATATCACCACAACTTAATTTTATTGTTCTTACTTCTAGAAAGCAGTACTAGATTTGACAGGCTCAAAGCTATCCTTTTTCTGGGAATGGGAAGTCAGAAGCAGTAGGAAAAGCAGGTAGATATATCATAGGATAAGGGAAGAGACAGTAGGAATCATCTTCCTCAGCTTTTGAGTGTTCTTTGTGATAATGTCTAAGTGTTAGTGTTCTGAAGGAGGAGGAGCAAGCAGGTAAGGTGTAAGCAAGGGAAAGGCAGTGGGAGGCTACACAGCTTCCCTGGGATTGGGATCCTGCCCAGCTCCAGTCCTTTAGAGGGGCTGGGCAGCCCTGCTGTTCAACAAGGTTCTGTTATTATGCACACCAAGCAGCTCCAGAAAAGGAATTGCCTTCTGGAGACTCCAAAGTCTGCCCTGAGTGCACTGCTGACAGCAGTGTCTGGCCACCAGAATTCCTCTTTGGACTCCAAGTAATTTCACAAATGTTGTTTTGACACAGCCAGAGCCTGTGCCCAGTGCTTGGCATTTGAAAGCATCGACTTAGTGCTGTAGAAAGCCAAACCAAATAATCTGCTGGGGGGGTTTCACCCTTTGGTGGGGAATCTTACAGTATGGGCAGCCACTTGGAATTCCTTGTGTTTGACAGGTGTTTCAAGGTGATGTTATTTTATCACACAGGTCCTTGGCTTAACATTTGCAGCAGAAGAATTATAACCCTTTGGATGAGTTGTGTTCCAGCCTCAATAATTTACCATGGGACTTTCTTAGCATATATGTATAGTTGTTGTAGAAGTCAGTATAGGATTTATCTGAGGAAGCCGATTTTGCATGCTTTGGCAGTCAGATTCATTGAACTGGAAGCTTTGACTGTGGGAGGACCTACTGGCTTTGGGCTCAGGCTTTCATATTTCAGGTACAGAGAAAACCTTTTGTTTTACATGCACAGAGCCCACTTGCATTTTCCTCTGTATGACAATACCAGTTTTCTGGCATAAGGTGAGACAGCAAATTGATTCCCCTGTGGAATCTTGTCACGTTGGTGAATACTTGCTTCAGTGCTGTCCCCTCCTCACCTGGAATCAAAACACTGAAGTCAGGCACAGCCTTTTGCCGCTTTATTTCAGGCTCTTACCTACAAAATGGGTAATTGTGTTTTACCATTTACTATTTACTGTGTGTATTGTGAGGATTTAATCCCTTCAGTGTTGTGACGTGATGACATGCAATAGTTGAAAAAATACATTCCAGTGGCAGGCAGGAACAAGTGGGATTCCTTTTTCTTCTGCTGTATGGTGGGAGGCATGTTTTTTCACCACACTTGGTAGGAACCTTATTCCAAAGCAACATACTGAGAACTGCCATCAAATACGATGTTGTCCTTATAGAAAAGTGTTTTCCTGTCTTTCATGGGTGTGGTTTTCTCGATTGGCAGTTGTGTTGTGAAGCTGTGATGAAGACAATGCACCAGTATCATTTGTGCCATGAGGGAGAGAAGTGAGATCAAAGCTGGGATTTATTCTACAGTTTATCTTACCTACTCTGTGGTTAAAAAACAGGGGCTCATCTCCACTAGGACTGCATAATGGAATAACTAAGACACAAAGTCCATGCTTTTTTCGGCAGTAAAGCCAAGAGAAAAGTTAAGAGATGATTAATTCTGAACTCCTGCTTTGCTTGTACTTCACTGGGCATTACATATACCAAAGCTATACAGAGCTGAGAGCACTTCTGTCAGCCCTGCAGTTTTATGTTTCGTGAGACTTGCATCCCTTTGCAACAATTTGGGTCTCTCACCTGGGAAAAGTGTTCAGCATCTCATTTGTCCATTCCATTAACACTCATTGTTCTTCCTTGTCTCCACAGCCTAATCACAGAACGTGCTTTCCACGCTCTCTTTCCCACTCTTCCTAGTTCTCAGCCCTTCCTGCAACTTTTGCTAGTTTGTATGCTTTCTCCCTTTGGCTGTTACATTTTCATTATTGGTTTTGCATGGAAGTCATCTGGGCTTATACATTGAATAACCTCTGTGGTCACTTACTGATTACATACACTGGCTGAAGTAATTTATTCACTTTGTTTTGGTGTGAACATGTCCCTTGGGTCTTGTAACTGCTGTAATCACTCGACCTTAGGGACTGTTAAATGCTTTAAACACAGTTATTTTAAATTTATAATTGTTTTCATTAAAAATCTCTTATAGTAACTGATTTTGCAGTAAACACAGCATTATGTACTGAGGAAGAGTTGAGATGTTATTCTGTGCCCAGTGAATTTCTTACTAAATGTTTCAACTTACTATTATTATCTCTGTTCATATTTTCCCCATCCATTCTTGGTCAGTCATACATGTGAAATGAAATACAGAAATATCCAATTATAGCTCTTGTCTTCATAGTGCAATATTTCCTTTCCTGGGTGATGGGAAGTGATTGAATAACCCATAAGAACTGGAGAGAAAGCCAAGATAAATTCTGGCAGATAGATCTTTAATGAGTGTCGATATGTTTATTGTGCTCAATTAGTATGGGCCTGATTGTGCATATCCTTACTTGTGTGAATAATTTGCATCCAGTTTAGTAATTTTTCTCAAACAGCCAGGTTTGTACTTTTTTGTTTAGAGGTTATATCTTAATGTGTTAATTTTTGGGTTCTGCGTTTTTGTTTGGGTTTTTATTTTTCCATGCAAGACTTCTATTACAAGGCATATTACTGCACAAACTAGAGAAAATCCTGCAGTTGTACACACAAATTCAGGAGGTGAAATTACTGCTGGTTACTGTCTGTGAAGTGCTGAATTTAGCTAGGTTTTTCCTGAGTTGTTCTGGGATTTAGCAACTTAACTGTTTCATGTTTTTTTTCTTTTAAGTCTTGCTTTTGTTTTTAATGTCTATATCTTTTAACTTCTTTGGGATAATGACTCCACAAAGTTTGTGAATGGTTTAGCGGCCAAATACGTATGGGTTTGTACTGGAACAGTATTTCTTTGCCTGTAATATATGCTTATCTTTAGTGTAAACATTGTAGACAGAGCTAAAAAAAATTTCAGCTTTTTTTTCCTGCACTGTAGTTCCTCGATCATGTTGCTTAAAGTGAGAAGAAAAGAATGATTATACAGTTTTAATGTGGAGGTTTTCTTATTACACGCCGTATATATAGATGTGGTCCTCGGAAAACTATCGTCAATTATTTTAAAGTTCATTTTTGTGTGAGTGTTAGTTATGGAAAATAGCAGCATCAGCTTGGACTTGCTGATTGTTTCATGGAATAGGTGACCAAATGGAAATGTGGTGTTGCTCTCAGAAGTATGGACAGACACTTGGTTCCAGCCTACACTTGAATTTATGCATTAGTGCCATAGAAATTTGAAATTTACTCACAGCTGTTAAGCCAGACACCTGCCAAAATAGTGTTTGATCTTGAAGGTAGTGTAATTTAATTTGAGGAAAAAAAAATGAGCTGTACAAAATTAGTACAATAGTAAGATCAAACTTTTTTCTTATCACTGTTTAAAAATGCAGGGTCACATTCCACTTTTATCCTTTCTCCATCTCTCTGGTCTGGCTTAGTTATTCCCTCATTTTATCTGGCTTCATCTCCTCTCCAGGCATGTTTCATTTAGGGTTTTGTCTAAGTGTGTTCCTTTTGCTAATGTACACTGAGAACAGTTTGAATGTGATGAAGTATTTGTTCTTGAGGCCTTTTGCTCCTTAAAAATATATTTTTGATGTGAATTATTTTGGCATCTGACTTTACACTTGTTTTTTATTAAAAAAACAAACTAGTAAGCTCTAAATTTCTCCAAATTCAAAGGGGTATTAGCTCAAAGTATTCTGGACTAATTTAGAACCAGAAGCAAGG